TCACCCTAACCCTAACCAATCAGATTTTTTAGCTTCAACATCAGCCAAACTTCAGCATCAGCCGTCACATTAAATAATCACGAAATTGGAGATTTCGCCCATATGCATTGTTTATATGATTGTACATAAAAAACATTTTTGATCAAAATATTTATTAAAGAAATAATAAATCATAAGAAAATACAATTTCCAATGAGCTATACTTTATTCTATGCAAAATTACTTTTGAAAAATTTGTTGCAGCGTCTATCTCAAATTTAAGCCCCCTAGTTACGTTATCAATGAGTTCTCCAGTCTCCTTTTTTAAGGCGTTCCGTCATACTCGTCTTTATTCTGATTAATTGATTGTATGCACTCAGGATATTATCTGATCTTACAAAAGTCTTTATCAGAAAATATTTAAATACATACTAAATTCTTTCTTTTTGTGAAATAATAAATTCTTTTTCTTTGTAAAATAAAAATGAAATTCTTTTTACCTATTACAATTCCTACTTTTTTAATCATCGGTTTATCATTTGTCTCCTCATACGTACTTAGTCCACGCGAAGAAAAATCTGAATGGGGATACCTTGGTTCGAACGGTCCCGCTTATTGGTACAAACTTAATGAAACCTATGCAACCTGTAAAGGCATTAAACAGCAAACTCCTATAGATCTTAAGGATGAAGATTTTACTCATCCTACTAAAATTGCGTTAGACGTAACCAAAAAAACCGATCTAATTCTTTTAAATACTGGTCATAATTATCAAGTTCAACGGTTTGAGGGTACTATTGATAACCCAGCATTGTATAAAGATGTAACATTAAAAGTTGATGGTGAAACATATTATCTTCTTCAGTATCATTTTCATATGCCATCAGAACATCATATTGAAGGCAGAGATTTATTAATGGAAGGGCATTGGGTTTTCAAAACCTCGTCTAATCAAGATGCAAAACTTGCCGTTCTAGGGGTCTTTTTTGACCTTGGTGAATGTGAAGAACCTGGTTTGATGCCCATTATAGAGATAATCAATAAAGTATGTAAAAACTTAATGACAATTACAGTATGAATATTTTCTCTTCTCAA